ACAAGCCACAAAAGTGTGCACCCTCACCCTCCTACCAAAGTTCCACATCCTGATGTACCCCATCCATATAGCAGAAGCGATGGATGTACCACTGGTGTCCATTCATCTTTTTGACTGGCCGTGATTCTCACCCACAACTGACCTGTGGCAGCTTGTAGACGGTCAGGATGGTTGCCATATCCAGGCAGTCATTGGTGTTTGGTCCCCCAATGACTGCTGCCAGTTTACTTTGGACATCACACTTGTAGTTGGGGTTGAACCTGCCTGGCGTAGAAAGAAGTTGCATTGTGGCAGCGAAGGTATGTTTTCGACTGAAGTAGTTCGTGTAGATGTGGAAGCCCAGGGAGGCATTGGGCAAGAGTTCAGGATTGTCATTAACCTCCTTTACAGCAAATTCCAGGGCCAGGATGTGTTGGTAACTCTGAGTCAGTGGCCTGCAAGGAGAAGTTCAAGGAGTACACCTGCTTGAGAATATCTGAGCTCAGGGTAGAGGGAAAATGTCTGATTTTTATTTTGCTTCATTAACATACAAATGAGCAAACAAATAAATCTTAAGTTCCCCCTTGCAACGTCATTGGGAAGTCATTAAAAGAAATTGAAATAACACATTCTCACTTACCAAATTTAATGCTACAATTAAAAAGAAATGGCCACCCTAACTCAGCATTCAAATGGCTAAGCAGAGGTTCAAGCATTTTAATGGAAATGCCCAGGGACATGCTGGAGAAAGCATTTCCCATAAGCATAATCCATTTTTCCTGTTTAACATGAAAAACTGTGCTATATTCTTTGTATTTTTGGGCCGGGGGTTCTTATCAAATTAATTTTGAAAGGAAACTGTTATGTATCCGTATGAAGCTGTATTTTAAATCATTGACAGGAATTTACTGAGTGAAATTATGTTGCCCAGCCAGGGAGGATTGGAGTGGAGACACTCAGCTGTGGCTTCTCTCGGGACAAAAACCAAACTCCAACCCTTTCTAATCAAAGCTGTGTTTACTCTTTGATGGTGAAGCTGGATGGTGCATCAAGGCTTATAGTCAAAAAGTTTGACAGCCCTGGACCGGGCAGAATTCTGTGGAAGTTTGCAGTGGTTGGAGAGAGCAAGCTGGAAGGAAGACAGGGGATTAGAAGAAAGTTAGATGTCCTCATGTTAGTCTCCAACCTTTACTGCTTATGCACACCTGCCACCCAATTTGAAACCATGAAATTGTCCTTTGAGGAGGGAAGCATTCCAGTAAAGAAGGTATATTAATGCCATCAGATGCAAAGGTACTGTAAAGTTAATGGATCCAGTCCCTTCTTACATGAGCTCCACAATCATGTCTTTGAAAGGATGTTCCCTTAGTGTTGGCTCTTCAGAAGCAAGGAATTGCTGAGGAATTATGGCTCCAATGAGGAGATCTCCTGCTTGATGATATGTATGATG